AATTGGTGTTTATATCTGTGCAACCTATTTAACTTTAAATATCTCAATTCAAGTGTTCCAGGCTGAAAGCACAAGTAATGTCTCTAAACAGCCCTTAAGGCAGGAGAACGACTCTTTTTGATCAGACTCAGGGTCTGTCCAGTCCAATGGCTACAAGCAGATCTACTCACTCGTTGCACCACACAGAGTATGATGTACTGCAGGGGGGCAAGAGAAAATTTAAGAGAGCAGCCAGATGATCCATTGGTTAACGAAAGCCACTTGACAAGAAGACACTGTTTAGATTTCCTTAGAAATACTTTAACTGAAAAATGCATTCTTGTCTGATATACTTCTTATACAGCCTACTGCACATCTAACACTCTTAGCTCTCAATTTGAATGGCACAAATATGATTGCACTACCTTATCAACAGTGAAAATGTAAGTAGTCAGAAAGGAAACAATGAGTTATATCGAACACAGAGAAACTGTAAAACTACTTATCATTACAAGTCCCTGCTCTCAGTATTTAGAGAAGCAACGTCACACAAAGCCAGCCTTGGCAGGCGGAGAAGTTCACATACCACGGTTCTCACTCTGCAGTTAATTGTCCCTTTGGCTGCACAAGCACAGCTGCTAGCAATACTGGGGAGCAAACCAAGTCACTAAGACAGCAAATCTTATAAAACAACATAACCCAACTGTTCTATCTGTGAAGCCCGATCAGAAATGCATTTAATTGTCTCCACAATACATTTCAGAGAAGAGACATGAATTCATATCATCATTTCAGGCTACAGAAGTTGACTGACTATGCTACAGCACGAATGCCTACAATCTTGAACTTTCTTCCAGACATCGCACGTCAGGTGTCTGTTCACCCTCAGGCAAGCAGGCTTCTTTCCAGATTGTTTTGGCTCAGTGTTAAGAATTCATTTGGGCAATTCCATCGATTGTCAAGGAAAAATTCTGAATGCCTACGTTCTCCTTAACGTGCGCCAGAGAAGAAACACTTGCAATTACACCTGGCAGAAACCAGCCTCAAAACAAATATCCCAAGACAGGAAAAAAACCCACCACAACGAAAACAAACAAGCCCAGAAATTGACTTACTGATCATGACAGCTCGGCCCTTTGGATCTACAGCCAAGTACTGGCCTGGAACAATTCTGCGACACCCACTTTTGCCAAAGGTTTCCTGATGAATCTTCTCAAACACGTTCTTCGAGGGCTGGTATTCCAGAATAACAATGCGTCCTGAATCGCTGCCCACAACAATATAGTCTTTGGTCCCACCTGTCAGCCTGAAGGCCATGAGGGAGCGAATTACTCCAAACACTTCCACTGTCAGCAAGGTGTGAACCTTTCCTGTATTGGGATCAGGGCGGAGCAACTCCAGGATCTTGCCCCGGGAAACAACAATTTCTTGTTGTTTGGTTCCTGAAGAACCCAAAACGTAAAAAATAGTTAGCAACAGCACAGCAGAACAAGCAATTTCAAAGAGCACTATAAGAAATAGAAAACTTTATGACCGCTGCAAGCGGAGTTTTTATTTTTATGGAAGTACTCAAACAACTTACCCCACCACATAACATGCCGCTATCCCCATCACTGCAGCATCTTTTAACAGATCACAGAATCACAGAATCGTTTAGGTTGGAAGGGACCTCTGGAGATCATCTAGTCCAACCTCCCTGTTCAAGCAGGGTCACCTAGAGCATATTGCCCAGGATCACATCCAGACGGCTTTTGAATATCTCCAGCCAAGGAGACTCCACCACCTCTCTGGGCAACCTGTTCCAATGCTCTGTCACCCTCACAGTCAAGAAGTTTTTTCTCAGGTTCAGGTGGAACTGCCGGTGGTTCAGTTTCTGCCCGGTGCCCCTTGTCCTGTTGCTGGGCACCACGGAGAAGAGGCTGGCCTCATCCTCTCGACGCTCCCCCTTCAGATACTTGTACACGTTGATGAGATCCCCTCTCAATCTTCT